CGGTGATCGAGATGGAAATAATGGTGAGCTTGAGGTATGTAGGACTCTTGAATTTCATTGCACTATCTTATACTTAATAGCATGGACATAACTATAAGGCCGTGACACAGCTCGCAGCTCTAAAGACAGCCAAATCTCAACCAAAACCAAGGCCAATCAAGAAAGCCAGACTAGTATAAGATTATATATATCTGGTACTTTACATGTGGCAGTTTACCCCCTATAATACTTACATATCTATCAAACCTGTTTTGGACAATTTATTATTGCACGCTTGATGCGCGCCCAGACTTTGATGGTGCACGCTTGGTGGCTGTGCTAGCGCGCTTCTGCACGCCTCTGCACGCCGTGCCACGCTTTTTTTCCAGTGCCCATTAAATTAAAACCGCTTCCAGCTAGTGTGTCATTTTTTTTAGAGAGACCAAGGCCAGACAGATCATGAGTGCTAGGAGTTCGCTAGATCCATTAATTTAATTTGGATCCTTGATACTGGTGAAATAAGTTTTGGGGAGAACCCCCCTTCTAAACTGCGTGGATTGTAATGCCTAATAAACAGGCAACATTGAACGAGTGATCTGATCTGCACAGTGGCAGAACCCCCCTAATTTCGCGGAAAAACAAAAAGAGTCCTTGTGAGATGATAAGCTCCAGTGATCCTATAACAACATATTTACCAGGATTTGATGGGTGGGGGGTCAACGCGAGTTCGCGAAGATTAGGGCTTCTCGAAAATGATGACATCATGGGAGAATCCGCTGAATGAATCCTGAAGGTGCTTTAATAAATAGAAGCGTAGTCATGGCGAGTTGCTGGAACACTTCAGGGTTCGAGTGAGCCTTATGCTGACAATCAGTTGTGTAATTGAAAAATATTCTAAGAAGGGCCCTTACGCCCACCTTCGAATATTTCTGAGATACAGATGTTGTTTAGTGGGGTACCCATCACTGAGAGGATATATTGGAAGTCGACAATATGTAAATCCGGGTTCCATAATGAATGTCCGGGATGTGAGATGTGAGGTAGCTCTCCATCTTACTTATCCCGAGATAAAACGTGTGACGTCGGCTGAGAGATATAATAATATCCGAACATGCATACATAACAAAGACCACTCAATCGCTGATCTCTGGTTTCCTATTCCAAGTTATATTTGGGACGGCGCAAGAATAAATTTATTGCGCTCGAACTGGGGGTGCCTCCTCAGTCCGTCACATCCGCAGTCACATCTTTGACAGATTTCGTAGTTTGGTCTATCACCATGTGTCTCAACTAGTGCCAGATCTGCCTATTATTATTTTGCTGCTTTAACAAGGAGGGAAATCTGATTTCCCCTTTATTCGCTATGAACCAAGGCGATGAGAGAGGTGTGAGGAGCAAGTTGTTATTAAATTAACAAACCAGGGCTACTAAAAGACCTTGAACAGTCCACAACTCGCGACTCACTCCGCACGAAATTTATTGTACGAAAAATTGTTCCCAACCCTATGACAGCCATCTGAAATTATTCATTGGGGCGTTTCCTCGTTAATGGGATATCTTGGAAACATCATACATGTGATTACTCAGTAAATCAATCATCATTCCTCAACACATTGTACCGAAGTTTGAGTTGGGAGGAGATAGTTCTTCGCAAAGTGCCAAAAATATCTTACCAGGATGCCGTGGTGTACCTAGTTAAGACGTCTCTTTCCCACCTAGACTTCTCCGAAATTCGGTGAACAGGGGGCGTCCTCATCTGAATAGCGTTTGTTTCTCTCGAGTCCAACCCCGTTCCTCTTCGGAAATGACGGTCCCTGTATAGTCAATAAGTGAATAGTTCACGACCCACAACAAGCACACTCAAACTCCCCCTCATATTCGGACTTTCAGTAAAGGGCTCTACATCAAGATTCGGTATCTTCAATACTTGTGACAATTTGGTGATTTATCACTTCCATCTAACACTTCTAGGACATGGTGCTCGTGCTTCCCCGTGCATCCAGATATTGATGCAGGGCGTGATATTGGCTAAAGTTATGTAGGATACCTGTCATTAGCCGGGATCCCCACCATTATTTTGATTCAGAGTCGAGCATGGGCATTATTAGAAGATGGGACGGGCGTGAAAAAGCACACTCACTAGATAGGACGCAGGCCACAAAACCATACATAAAGTAGAGATGAACACCCCGGAACAGGAGTTCAAAGTTGCGAACCATTGAGACCGGAACACGGATCGGAATCCAAAAAAATGAACTTCCACCCACGTGACTAGGTTTGGTCTCGCTTCCTGTAGGTTGTACTAGTCAACGCCAAGGGTTGCATCCGGGTTGCATCATGCGATCTTCCATCGCAACACTTCTCGAAAAAACCAACGTCCTTATGACCGATTCGAAAGTATTTCATTGCTGATCAGATGAAAGAAAAAACAAAAGAATGCCACGAGGCTCTGCAGAAGGCACTACCTGGGCTCGAACCAGGGTTACGAGAATTTTGAACTCAAAATCTCGAGTGATAACCACTACACTATAGCGCCGTGGTTGGTCAGATTCCTAAAAAGCCCGAACATCTAGGCACGTGATCATCTCCCCTCTCAACATCGTACAGGTCCGTGCATGAACTACCCCTGCATGCAACAAGGGAACAATTGTGTATAGTATGCACACCATAGGTGCATTGGTGGCTGTGAGAGAGAAATATTGTATTCAAGACGCGACCCTTACCTCAGGATCCGACTCACCAAGCAACTCAATAATCTCAATTTTAGGAAAGGATTACGGAAGACATCCGGCGACCTTATCGTAGGCTCAAATTTGGGGCATGGGTAAGATATGTGTGAAAGTATTTGAACCCGAAAAAAAATCTTGACGTGCGTGCTCACATCTCCTGTAATCCGTACCATGGTCCATGGTCCACTTAACAGACGGTGTCCACGTGTCAACTCTTCGTAGGGCAGTCATATCTCCCTGCGCCCCAGAGTCCTCCCGTTCGGGTGAGTTAGCTCCCGAATACCCAATTACCAGCCTTGATCACGCTATCTTCCTATTATCTTCCTCACACCCCAACGTCGTCGCTTGTTACTCCACGGAAACTCTACATATTGTATTCGCTTCACCCAAAGTTATTCCGGAGCTAGTTGACACATTCGTCGCTCGAATGAGGGGGGAACTGGGTTGACGGAGACGTAGAATCTAAGCTCATGGTAACCCTCACCCCTTACCTTTCCCTCAATCATAATGCCGACCTAGAGATAACGTCATATTTTCTGTCAAAGCTCAACGTATTTTTTAAACATAGGGTGCACTGTATTCTATCCTCAATATAGCTTGCCTTCCATAATCCGTCGCCCCAGCATTGTGGCTTGATGAAGGCGCGAACACAAATGATCGTTTCATAGGTGTGTCCTTTTGTGTGAGTCAATATTCTAACAGTTGGATCGGGTTGAAATGTGTTGGTCCTTTTGCTTAGTATCCTGTTGTAACACTATGCTTCACAGTTTCCCACAATCAACGACATGATGTGACTTTATTGTCTCATTTATGAAGTAGTAGGCAGGCTTGCGTAGGAGCGCGCGTGATAGGTCATCGACTGGGTTGTTCCTCTTACAAAATCCCACAGTCCCACTCATGCCTCTGTTGTCAAACCTGTTACTCCTTTCTGTTACCGAAAGTACGACAAGGAAGGTACCTGATTGATGGGATACCCATCAGTAAGGCATCCACCTTCCTCAGTTCTCGATATAAATGTCGAGCGGGGGTTGGCTACCTAGCCCTCATAATACTTGTGTTGTTTTTTTTTTGTGTTTTCCGTGAACCCATCTCATGGAAGGTTCCGAGCGGACGGTCTATAATGTCCTACTTTACTAGTAACGGGAAAAAGTAGGCCCAGAGGCGAGGACAAGGCTTTGTTCTTAGTTGTGGCCCTTCAGGCACGGGGTATGTACCAAAGCATCCCTTGCGAAGGGCCTATCCAACTTCACTACCCGACCTTGCCTCTAGACTACCATGTACTACGAAAATAGGGGTCAGTCCATGCGATTTAGATGCATGGGACGCACAGGCCAGGCCCTGCAGACTTCAAGATCGCTCCCCCAAAACAATAGGACGCATATTCGAGGCGATTACACAATACATCCGCAATAATTATTATCTCATGCGTCCGACAGCATTGACATTGGTTCCTAAGTAAAACATTAACAGAGAAACGAAAGAAAAGTGATACTAACATAAAGGCACTACCTGGGCTCGAACCAGGGTTACGAGAATACTTGATTCAGAATCTCGAGTGATAACCACTACACTATAGCGCCGTCATATGATCGGGTATAAAAAGGCCAACGTTTATGCACGTGATTAGCCTTGCTTAAAATCAAATCAGTGCGTCCCCATGTCTCCTGTGGCCTATACCACTAACCAAATAATACCTGAGGCATCCCCCACCCCGTTCCACTCCACCACTTGCATAGGCAGCCGACGTTCCCTGCGCGCCGTAATCCTACTTTTGACATTGGTTTGACACTTGTTCACTCAAAGTCTTTGAGTAAACGGGGGACTGATGGTGGGAATCGGTTCTTGCCTTGGGGAACCTCCAGTGTTCTAGGTATTCATGGGTCCATGTCTAAATGAAATCGAAGATCTTTCTACGATTCTGTTCCTCTTAGGTTACTCTCCTTTAACAACATAGATCTATTACATCACAACTATGTATTACAAAATTCTCGCAGTGAGTCAGTGATCCATGAAAAATGAGAAGAGGAGAAAACAGGGCCAGAGGCGAGGGTAAGGGTTTTATTCTTAGTTTCAGGTCCTCTATGTTTAGAGTACGTACCACAATATTCGCCCCAAATAATCTATTCAAGTTTTTTCAGATGACACCGCCCTGCAATTACCATGGCATGTAATAGGAAAGGGGGCAAACATGAATGATATTTCAATTACGATTCGCATGGATGGGACAACGCTAATGATATTAAACGATTACTTGGACGAAATGAAAGGCAAAAAATGACGAAACAAACTTTAAGGCACTACCTGGGCTCGAACCAGGGTTACGAGAACACTGGAATCAGAATCTCGAGTGATAACCACTACACTATAGCGCCTTGATCCGATCGGGCCTGGAAATAATAAAGAAATCCACTCACGTGACGGCTTTCCGGTCCTCAAAGTTGTTCCCACTTAAACATCAGTTGCTCGGGGTGGACGGGTTGAATTTCGAGGTGAGTGTTGCGTCGTAAGCATCCCCTGGGCCTAATAATCTCGATGTGCGCTTTCCCGCCTCCGAAGTATGATTTTTCCCACTAATCAAATGATAGCATATACATCACCCCCACATCCTACCACGTCCTTCATCAGTCGTCAAAGGTCTGTATAGCGTATCCCCCTATTACGCCGAGCGAGCTCCTAAATTTTTAATCACTCCTCTTAATCATCCCGGTTTCTGATCAGTATTATCACATTCCAACATTGTCACTCCACAAAAACATACATGCGTAGAGAACACGAACGCGCAACATATAACGCTTGAATTAAACCAGTGTAAGAGAGGCAGTACTCCCTCCGCGTGTACTGTGCCATCAGAGAAATACATAGAGCTCCTGTGGATACTTCAGTATAAAAGAGATCTCATATCAATTAAAGTTGGATGAAAAAATAGAAGACCAAGAAACCAATCTTTCTATTACATTATACATTAAACTGCCTTTTCAACACAACACAACCTGTTCCTATGTTACTGACCTAGTATCTCTGGTCTGTCGTAGCTATACTTGCGAACTCACCTTAGTTTGGCCAGTTTCAACGACCCAGATAGAGTCTTCACAAACATCCCACATTAACTATTACACGCCAGGGTACGACTCATTTAACAACAACAGTAACCGTTATTGTTGGGAATTGATAACTGCTCTCCGCCTTATCCCGAGCTTCTGTATCTTGTTAATGTGTTGTTAGGATATGTTGGATACTATCGGGAGGCGAGTGTAGAAATTAGAAATTGCATATTATTACGGATATTCAGTCTGTGTAGCGTATAGTGTACCTATTCTTGAAGCGACGTTCCACTTGGGTGGAAGCTTACCAAATCTATTATGATGTGTATAACACATACAACTCGCTTCTCCGTATTGTTCTCGTGTAATGATAATTCTGCGTCGAGTATGAAATCAGGGGTTAGAGCTCCGAAAAACCTTGTGTAGACTAGGTTGAGGCGTAAATATGGGACAGCAGCAGAGCGAATGGTATTCTAAGAGGTTCCTAAAGTAAGCGTAAGAGATCAGGGTCCATCGCTTAAGTTGGGGGAATGTAAATCGAAATAGGTGGTATTATACCTACCCGATTAACTAAACAGAAAACAGGGTTAAATTTCAACAAGAAACCTGACTGCAGTGGCAATATCATATGTAACAAGTATAACAATTTAAGCAAGAATTTACAATCAAAACGAACAGTGACACATTCAACTCCCTAACCTCTCAATGAGAGTCGTGCCATACACAGTGAAGGATAACCCTAGAGTAGAAAGAAATTGTTGTGGTGTTGATCAGAGCTAACGGTCGCCCTCGTCGAGCGTATCGTAGATTGGGCAAAGTTTGCGCCAAGCAACTGAACAGATATCAGCATCGTACACAATACGGGGGACGGGCCGGCTTACCAGGGGGTCTCTGCTTTGCGACAGTGTCTGCGTCCTCAGCGAACACAATGGCTAAACCACTGAGGTGGGTGGTTAGATTATTTGCAGGATAATATAAATGGTGCTGCCACAACTCACGCTTCTAAATGCCAATCAATGTGACTAAGTCCATGATATGTAAGAATAAAACTCAATGAAATTACAAATAAATTGCCTTACCAGTGGAGAATCCAAGGACCAGGGTTATCGGTAGTGAAACGAATGGTGACATTGTCTCCCATCCTTCCCGTAGATACTACATCGCGGCGAACCTGGTTCAAAGCAAAAATTAGTATTGTTGATAGGTACACAGAAATAACACACCGGATTGTCATAATTGTAAATGGAGCTCCCAGCACTTCTAATCACGTCAAACGTGTGCTGGTGAAGGAAGATCAGTTAAAGAGGGACATTTAGAGAGGATTAGTAGTACACCGTGCAGATGGAAAGGATGCTGGCAACGTGTCAGAGTATGCCTCGACTATCCAAGGTACGAACATACCGGGCTTCCGGGATCACGGCCTGGGATGGAAATCTCAATCACTTTGTTGGGCGGTAAGGTATACACACTTCCAGGGGGTAGGAGTTCCTGAGGGGTCCGGGAGCCGTTTAAAATCTGCAGTAGGACTGGAAGGCTTGGAGGTACAAATGAAGCGCCGTTAATTAAAAAACGCCCGTCCATGAAATCAAACGTTATGTTCAAATTAAGGGGAACGTCTACGCCGCCTGGTTCAGGTCGCCCAGGCACAGTTAGATCAGATAAAGGACACAGGTTCGTCTCATTTAATGGCTTGGCGGATTGAGTTTGTTTCGTTATTGGATCCACAGCGGCAGCACCTCGATAGCGAAGAATAGCTGAGTTGGTACCATTATCGAATTTTGCATTGCCAATGTTCGGGCTTGCTCGGATCCAATAGTTGCTAACAGGTTGATTGGCCACGAGGACGAATGAATATCTCTGACCAGCGAAGATCTGGATGGAGCCAACTTCGAGGGGCTTCACATTGATGCCGTCGGCTTCTATGATTGTCTGTGATGATGTCATTCAATGCGGGTGGGGCGAGCGAGAATGGAGAACAAACCATAATATGGCCATCGATCGAGAAAATAAAGTTAGGATCGCAGGAGATTGAGACGAGCCTAAATCGATATTTTTTCAATCTGACTACATTAATGATGGCGAGCGGGGAAGGAGGGCCATCTTCATAACGACCGAGACCGTTGATCAGAGTGGAATCTGGCGTGGGGGCGCCGCCCGCGTCGGGTGCTACCACATGATACCTTGGTCAATAGAGTATAAGAACAGTTTTGAAAGTAAGTCTAACGGATAGACAAACCAATCTGCAAGAGTGATGACAGTTGATTCTAAAAAGAGTATAATCGGCGTCATAGGTTTAAGATCAGATGCTAATACAGCAGTAAAGACTGACCATCATCAATCTCATAACTACGAAACGACAGTGAGTGATATGTTGATAATTAGGAGACGATACATACAGTTTGGCGTGAGGATCATGTGGATCATAGATGACGAATGCACCTCGTAGTCCATCGCAGTACTGTGTTGCTTTGGAAACATCAAGTTGATGGAAATTACTTTGAAAACGTAAAATTCATACCGAGATGTGAATGATACCAGTATGTTCCAGCTTGTTTCGGCACAGAGAATTGGTAAAGGAACGAATGATTAGGGGCAATAGGACACTGTGTTACGCCAACTGGGCCATCAGCCCAGCTAGATCCTTCCTGAAATAAACCATGCCAGTGCTGTCCATATATAAGTGAAGAATTCTTCATCGTAATGTAGTAATACGAGTCTTACGATGCTTGTGCTCTTGCGCATCGAAGAATTGGTCAATCCATTTATCACGTTAAGCCGGAAATTATCTCTCTATGAGAGAGTTATTCTTAACTTCATTAAAAATAGGGGAGCCAGACAAACTTTGATGCCTTTGATGAGTGGTCCTGGAAATGAAGCTGTCTTTGCTGTTCCACCTGCCAATACACCTCTAACATAATGTTAAAGTGGTTAACAAGAGGTTTTAACGAAACGAACTGTCGTGGAAATCCATCTGGAGAAATCTCTTTATTGACAACATGCAGATTGGCAATGGGTCCAATCGCAGCGTACACGCCAGAGATGACGAAGAGTGTGAAAAATATCTTTGAAAACATGATTGTAAAGCGCCTCGAGTAGTAGGAGATGGAGAACCTACTTTTCATGTCGTCCTTATATACACAAATCCCCGGTGTGTGACGATTTATCCCTCATATTACAAAGGAGGTAGGCCATGGTCACACATACTACGTGGACTCGAACGGGTATAGATATCTGCATTACGAGATTTATTTCCCAAGCTGCACAAGAGTGTCCTTGTACTGAGCCCGAGGGGGATTTGAATGTCGGCGGAAACCTATCCCTAAGAGGTGTGAGAGCCGAGTGGAAATCATTTCTATGTTTGGGTGTCAAAGGCGATACTTACGTTGAGAAAAACTTGAATGTAATACGTAAATACAAATAGGGCGGGTGCCAGTGGCATACTACATCTGATTCACTAGCGAACCCAAGTGGGGAATATGTATGCCACCCATTCGCAATAGGCCGGAGGTACAGACGCATGATCGCTTGAGCTTGATTTTCTCCATTCTCTACCTATTGTCCGCAATTCTTCTCAACACATATTCGCCTTTTTTGGCCTGTGCGCTTGCTTCAGGCGCAATTAATAATATACTGTAAAGTATCACTAGTCGATGATTACCTTCTTTTAAGTCATTGTTTCAGAGGAAAAACCTGTTGTTCTCATAGCACAGGATATTCATCATATACTCATCAATAAATCACCATGCATAATAGAGTACCACCATGGGTGACGACTGTAATATAGGAATAAAGGTACAGGAAACCTCAAAGCGGAAATTTCCTGACAATACTGCAGCAAATGATGTAATATCCATCCTACAACAACTATAATAGGTGCTGCTTAAAAGATAGAAGACGTAAACATCATACAAATAGGCGGTTGTTTCAATGAAAAAGCTTTTTGGATATAGCCATTACCTGGCTCCCGGTGAGCTGTTATGTGAACGTTCCTGTAGATGTACTAATGAGTAGCATTAGGAGATATCTTTTGAAACTTTCAGTACCAAAGCTGTGGTTGATAGTACGATAAACTTCAGAGCCTGAAATTCGAGCATCCTTGCCTTCACCACATCAATCCATTTCCATCATTGGAAGAAAAATGCCACGGTATGATCTAACCAAGTAGAACATCGGCAGTTTTTATCCCGCATAATTTACGTCTGCGTTGAGTATAGACAAGGACATGATTATCGGGCCCGAACTTTACATAACCTCATGGGGTCCGGGAACATCTTATTGACCCACATTAGTAAAATACGGAGGTGTGATTTGACAACGCGGAGTTGATAAAC